CCCATATGCATTAATTTTTTTCCCAAGTCATTGTTTAAGCATTTTTACCGATATTAAACTAATAAGAACATATATTACACTTGATACTAGAAAAAGGCCGAGAAAAGTAAGCTTTAGGGAATGAATTCAGCAACTTTTTTGTAAGCTGCTTATAAAAACTAGGATAAATTATATGTATAGTAATTAAATTATTATTTTTGTTTTGTTTTAGTATTTAATTTTTTAACTCATATTAATGTTTTGTTTAAATTATATTTTTGGTATTATGTTGTTAAAAACTTAACGGTGATATTGATGTGTCAACATAAGGTAATGTCACATCATCATTGAAAAAATTAAAAAAATGTCACGTTAGCAATTCTTTAATTTTTTTAACAGCGGGATCAAAATGAAACCTAAACTAAATGTTATGTATGATTTTGAAAATAAATAAAGTTTGAGTATCAAAATAGAATAAAAATAATAGTTTAGATACTAAACATGTAGTTTACCCTAAAAACTGATGGCCAACACCTTCGAAATCTATAGGCCCAAAAAAAATATTGAAATGGAAAGCCGAGTGAGGTAAAATAAGTCAAAAGGTGGAGATTATTGAGAGAACCTTGAATGAAGTAGTCAATGAACTTCAATGCTGAGTTAGTTGAAAAGCCTTGTTTCTCCAGCTTGTTAAAAGGATCACTCAACTCTAATTACCAAATAAGCAAAGACATCCATGATGGCACAAACCACACCAACTTCTGATGTTGATTTTGTTGATGATTTTTACTTCTCAGCACTATTTGAGCATCGAATCTTCCCTCCATCTGACCACAAACATGCTCAAGAGTCGCAGTTTCAAGAGGCTCTCATGTCATGTCATCGAAAGGAAAGAACGCGAAGCGATGTTCACCACGGAACGTTGCCGTTACTCTTACTGTCGCCATTGCATCGGCAAGCATGTTTCGATGAGGGTTGAACAAGGCATGATCATCGTCACATGCCCCAGAGAGAGCTGCAGGCTGTGTTGGAGCTCCATGCTTGTCGACCTCTGCTTCCCGAGGCAGTAATCCATCTCTGTTCTCCCGGAGTTAATTGATGAATCCCTGGTAATTTACTGTGCTTTCAGGGATTGTTCGGCCCATTGTTGAATGCTAGCTAATGATGATGGAGGAGAAGTTATTAGAGAATCTGAGTGCCTCTATTGCCATAGGCTGTTCTGTGCAGTGTGTTTTGTGGCATGGCATACGGGGAATATTGGATGTACAGATTAGGGGAGGCTGAATGAGGATGAAAGAGGGAGAGAAGATCTGATGGTGAGGGAACTTGTCATGGAAAACAAATGGGGTAGGTGCCCCAAGTGCAAATACTACGTGGAAACAACATAAGGTTGTCCACACACGACTTGCACGTCTGTTGGTTCATCATGATGCCATATTTACTTCATTTTGAACCCTATGTTAGAATTAGGTTATGTTGTGGATGCAGATGTAACTTCCAGTTTTGCTATGGTTGCGGAGAAAAATGAACTACCACTCACGGTGGCTGCCAGAGGAATTAAGACTACAACAACACAGCAGTCGGGGATGGATCTAGGGGTGATAGGGAATAATCGCCTCTAAAAATTTATAATTATCATATATTTTAGGTATTTTGTTTATATTTTCTATTAATGATCTATTTTGGTGTGTTAAACAAAGAAAAACTTTTAAATTTGTGAAGGTCGAGAAGAAAGATTGTAGCGAGGTTTTAAACTACTAGTTGGTTCAACAAGACTCAAGATATTTATATATTGGAGCTAAATCATTTTTTTGGTTTAACCATCGTTATTTGGTTTATTAATAAGTTATTTGATATCAAATTTTACATAGATATATTATGGGGACGAGCCTTTCAACTTATTTATTTGATTGACAAATGTTAGGATTTAAACTCATAATATGAATATATTGTCTAATCTTACTAGATTAATTGATTATCGGTGAAGCTAAATTATTTTTAGGGTAAACAATACAAATGATCATTAATGTTTGAGTAAGTTTTTATTTTCACCACTGATGTTTCAAAAGTAACAAATTGGTCACTAACGTTATCGATTATTATAAATTGGCCACTTGATGTTAACCGATGTTACTATGGGTGATAGAAAGTTGACATGGTGTGTTAGCCGCTGATTTGGCACCGTTTGACCATTATTTTGACCTATCCTTCTCTTCTATTTCCACTCTCATCTCCATACTTTTTTTTTAACTCAAAACTCACCATTTTCATTAGTCTTTCTTCTTCGATCTTCATCTGCACCTGGAATTAACTTTTCTTTTGTACGTCTTTTGAGTTGCTTGATTTCGAAAGATAGCACATTACAGGTCATGAAGGAGCATGTTTTATTTTCCTTATTTTCTATTTTCTTACGAACTTCTTGTTCTTGTCTTCCCTTCCAGAAATGTTAATAGAAAAAGGGGGGAAACTCCTTATTGCTTAACCAACCATTGATAGCATATTCCTTTTGTCACATGCAGCAAACTATTGAAGTTATAAATTTGTATTCATAGGTATTTGACCATTGGGATTCTGTGGACTTCTTTCTTTTGTTAGATGTGCAGGAAAATCTTGAGGTGGGAGAGGTATTGGCAGTTGATATGTCATGCATTGTGGCCTTTACAACTTCCATCGTTGTTCAAATCAAATACAATGGTCCAATAAGAAGAGCAGGGTTCGGGGTAAGCCGCTTTCAGTTAGTATATTTCTACACTAGGTATTTGTATATACGGGCCTTGTAAGCTTTGTTGTTGTTCCAATGCAAACTTGCAGGGCAATAATTTGGTTACAGCCGTTCTAACCGGACCCGGAATTGTATTAATCCAAAGCTTGCCATTTCAGCGATTTTCGCAATGAATTGCAAAGTAAAATGTCATACCAGTTGCAGCTTCACCCCAAAGTCCTCCCGCTTCTTCCTCTTCTTTCCCACAATCACCTCCTCCTCTTCACCTGACGCTTCCGCTGCCACCACCGCCATCCCATATTTCCTTTCCTCATACTCGTTCTCGACCTCATCTCTCTTCCTTTTCTTCCTTGTCACATCTTGGACTTTTAGTCATTTGGGTGTTCCTTTATTTTCATAGCTTTTTGCATCAAGACTTGAACTTTCAACACTGCCATTTAAAGGACCCAAATTTAGATTTTCTTTAGATTTCTTCTTATCCATGTTGAGGCGAGCAGATGAAGATTGAGAGAGAAAAATAATTTTAATGAATCTTCCTGTGTCGAAGGGGTAGACAACTTGGTTCAATGTTAAGATGAAGATTGAAGAAGAAAAACTAATGAAAATGATAGGTTTTGAGTTAAAAAGAAGTATGGAGATGAGAAAATGGAGATAAAAGAGAAAGGTATATCAAAATAATGGTCAAACGGTGTTAAATCACCAGTTAACACGTCATGTCAGTTTTTCATTATCCATCGTATCGGCTGTTAATATCAAGTGACTAATTTGTAACAATCGATAACATTAATGATTGATTTGTGACTTGAAATATCATTGATGAAAAAGAAAATTTACTTAAATATTAATGATCATTTGTGTATTTTACCCTTATTTTTAACAATTCATTTTCTTTGTAATCAATTTGCTTGCTCAAATTACCCAATTTGATTTAGTGGTTAAACATTAAACCCTCAGGCCTCACCCACATGTTTCAAGTTTAATATATTTAGCTTATTTAATAAACAAATGATGATATATATCCTCATTTTATTAAAGAATATTAATCTATTAAAAAAATAACACATACTATACTATCTCAAATGTCGTTAAGTACGTAGACGTCGTATCATATGCCATTAACAACAATGATCAAAATAAAAGCGTTTTTAAAATTAAATGACTATAAAAGTTTGATAATCAAGGTACAAATGCCCTAAAAATCAGAGACCATTAGTATAGGTTAACTTTTTTTAACCCACGTCACAATATTGTATTCATATTTAAAAAAAAATTATTTTAGTAATGTGCTCAAGATGGGGTTTCTTTAAAAAAAAAATCTCTTTTTTAGCCGTCGTTAGTATCTTTCGTTTACATCTTTATGATTGGCAAATATTCATTGTTTTTCCTTTATTTTATTATAATATTTTTTTTTATTTTTTTTATTTTAATAATTTTATCTTTATGACATGTTTTCTTCTGCTTTTATAACACATTTTTTTTGTCTTTATGACACATTTCGATCGTTTGAGTGTTCTTTTTATTTATATTTTTTTAGGGTTAGATTTAACATCGCATCACTGATCAAAATAATACTTTATTTGTTATCATGTTAATCATTCATAGTTTTGACCCTCAAATTGGACTTGAATACACGATTTGATTTTGTGGATAGTATTTTCACGTCGTCCAATTCTGATTTGTGATTTGTCGTTGGCTTTTCAATAACTTCATCTATTTTGTAGTTCATTTGCTGATGCGATCTGATCTACTTTTATTTATATTTTATCCGAATTTATTTGGTTAGGTTTTTTAACTTTTTAGGTATCTGAGAGTCTCCTTATCACTCGTAAGTCTACTGAGAAGGACTATCAGACCTTGGTTGAGAAGATTAAAGTTAAGTTGGGACATTGGTATGGTAAGTTATTGACCTTTGCTGGTAGGCTTCAGCTTATTAAGTTTGTTTTGTTTGGCATTGCAATATTTTTGTGCTTGCAGCTCATTCTCCCCTTGGCAGTGATCTCTAGAGCCAATCAATTTTGCATGAGGTTTCTCTAGAAAGGAGAGGATTCTAGTGCTGTTAGTGCTAAGGTAAGCTGGCAGTCTGTTTGCTCGCTTAAATTTGAGGGAGGTTTAGGGTTAAGGGATGTTCATTGTTGGAATAAAGCGTGTGTGCTACAGCTTGTGAGGAAACTGCTTGCTGGTGAGGGTTCCCTTTAGGTAGCCTGAATACATGCTTATGTGTTCCGGGGTGCTGATTTTTAACACTTTGAGAGCAAGATTAACACTAGTTGGAGTCTGCGAAAACTTTTTAGGCTCCGAAAGAATGCCACTCCTATTTTGGCTTCTATTCCTTCTGGGCAACAGGTATCTACTTCTTGGATTTGGGGTGAGATTTGTTGTGTGCATGCTCATGTTTACCATAAGCTAGGATGATTTCCTCTACATATTCCTAGGAATTCTTTTATTAGTTGGTGGGCTATTCTTGATCGTTTGAGTCTTAAAGATAGGTTGTTGAGAATGAGTATTGTGGTTGACCCCCACTATGTTTTGTGTGCTATTCGTTTGGAGTCTAGGAGCCATCTGTTTTTTGGCTGCTCTTTCTCTTGTTCTATTTGGGAAAATATCTTTGGTCTATGTGGTTTTGTTATGCCTATTTCTGGGTGGGATCAAGAGCTGCGTTGGGTTTGCTCTCGGTTGAAGGGTATATCTTTTCAGGTTTTTATCCTGAAGATTGCTCGGTGTAATCTTATATATTTTGTATTGGAGGAGCGTAACTACCGAGTGCTTAGGGGTAGATCTCGGTCTGTTGATGATGCTATGGAGGCTATTAGGGAGGTTGTATGTGTTAGAGCTAGAAGCAGGTGTAATTCTAGCCATGTAAACTCTAGGCTCTGCGCTGCCTATGGTATATCATAAGGTGGTAGTTGTTATTCTCTTGTTTGTATTTAGGTCTCCTGCTTTCCTCGTGGATAATATATTTGAAAGCTTATCCCAAAAAAAAAAAAAAACTTCGTTACCTAAAAGTGGCAATAAGTGGGACCATTACTGGTATATAGTAATTGTCTAACTGGGAGAAAATGATGATGTAATGTACGAACAAAGTGAATTCAATTATTAAAAGAATAATTGTTAACTTAAAGGTTATGAGTTCGAGTACGCTATTGACAAGGGTGATTGAATGTTTATCGTTAAATGATTGAAAATCTTTCAAACAGATACCATGTATTCACCCTAGTAAAAGAAAAATCTTGTAGATCACTAATAGAATAAGTGATGGGTTTAATCTATTTAAATTCTTAAGCTGATCAGCTTATTACAAGAATAATGATAATATTGATACCTTACTACTAAGGGGATGTTTGGTTCAGGGGATCTGAGATTACCGGGGGAATGGAATGTCATTTCCCCGTTTGGTTGGCCAATATTCACAGCCCCCGGTAATCTTTTATTACCAACAGTGATATTTTAGAGGTATATTATCGGGAATGTGATTATCTCCCTTTCCTTAGGTATTGTTGGATTATCAGTGTTTTGGACTAAAATGCCCTTAATTTTTTTTTCAAAAAGATCATTTTTCTGCCGTTGAATAAAAAAATTATAGGAAGGTTAAATTACAAATTTATCTTTAAATTATTTTAAATTTACAAATAAAGTCCATAATTAGAATTGTATATAAAATTTAGGGGTTAAAATAAAATTTTACCATTTCATTAAACCTATTTATCTTTTCAATTTTTGTAAAAAAAATTATATAAATTTTATGAATTTAAATTTTTAAAGAAAATATATAAATTAATTATAGTAAAATTTAACTTGTTAAAAAAAATAAATATATAATAATGATAATTTGGTAAAATATACATTCTAATAATCTTTTATTCCTTTAACCAAACACGATAATCTTACACTCCTGCTAAACGAACCAAACACAAAATACAACATTCTTAGTAATCTTATTCCCGCCGAAAATCTTATTCCCACTGGTAATCTTATATTTCGTGAATCAAACACACCATAAGGAAAAGCAGCTCTTCCCCATTTACATTCTTCGAAGAAGTGACTTGACCTCCATACAAATATACCTGTTTAAGGGGAAAGAAAGTAGAATGAATCCAAGCAGCATTCATGGCTTCCTAAGTTCATCAAATCGGACTTCAAGAACTCTAATTCCACTTTTAGGCACGTTCAATATAAGGGGAAAAAAAAGAAAACCAACAAAATTGAATGCATTCAAACAAACCAATTCATGTTCAGAGTAATACCAATTGTTTGCAAAAAAAAAAAAGGTGAAATATTCCGATGATTTGCTGGAAGCAAGATGGATGATCATCTATACCAGTGTCGGAGCTTGAAAAATCCACAAGCATTTAATTGACCATCAAGCGTACACTTCACTACAAATATTAACTTTATAATGCAGCATTACTTCATTATTAACATGCAATGAGAGCGTGGTAAGCATAGTAACCAGTACCAGCTTCTTCTTACTAGCAAAATTGCACATGCAGAGGCCGGTGTGCACTAACAGGGAAAAGGAAACATGTATAAAAGCATCTTAAAAATATAGGATAAATTACATGTTTAGTATCGAACAATCACTTTTGTTCTGTTTTGGTCACTCAACTATTATTTTTTTGTAAAATCATAACTAATTCGATCACTTACTATTAAAAAAATTAATAAAAATACTGACATGACAGTTTTAATGATAGCAAGATCAAAATCGATAAAAACAACAATGAACTGAACAAATCACGCGAACTCCTCAAAGAAACGGTGATTTTTAAAATGCAGTTGATGTTTTAAGCACACAGAATTTAAGATTCCGAGCAAAAATAACAACAATCATTTCGTTAAAAAAAAAAGAGAAAAAGAGAATGAAAGAGGAAACCTCGGCAGAGCAATGGCGAATCTACCTTAAGATGACCTTATGGAGGCCATTGACGCCTTTACAGTGCTCGACATGCAGCTTCTCGGAAGACATCTACGGAATGCTTCAATTTCTTGCTTGAGATCAATCGCACTTTTAGAAAGATAAATAAATAAGAGCGATTATTTGGGATGGTTTTCGGAGGGGGCAACTAATTAAGGAAATAGTATCATATTGTTATGATTGAGTTTTTCCCTTTTCTATATTGTACTACTACTACTACATTTTAATTTCTAATTTCTTTGTTTCTCTAACAGTATTTTCTTTCGGATTTTTTTTTATTAATTTGGAATAAATAAAAGGTGGTATATGTTCAAATATAAATCTCAAACACTTGATATTGAATGTTCATATACTTAATATTTATAGTGCTCAAACTCGAAACTTTAAGGAATAACAATATTATTTTTATCACAGAAGTCACTTGGTTCATACTAATTTATATTAACACCCATAGGAATTGTTTTTTGAAATGACCTATAGGAATTTCTGAGTAGTGGAAATGGGTGTGTTTGGTGTTTTCATGGAAGGAATGTGGTTGATACAAAAGTTATTTTTTATAATAATGTTTGGTATAAGTTAACTTGAAAACTTATACTAACACCTTTAGGTCATTCACCGTAATAGATTTAAAAAGCAAGATTTTTTTTCATGTTAAAAAAAGCTAGATTTTTTTATCCTTTGATTATATCACATTTTAAAGAATTCTTTTTCATGTAAATATTTTATTTGATAAAGATAATCCAATAAACTCTAGATAATCCAATAAATGTGATTTCTTTAAAGTCTCAATTGTAATTATTGAATCTCTTTAATTTTGGTATTTTCAAATTTCTATCATCAATTCATCAAATCTCTTTCCCTATTTTTCATATCAATGAAAAATTTTATCAACGCTATTTTTTCTCTCTTCAAATGTGACACTGTAATCTGATACGACTTGAAGATCGACTGATTAGAGTATTACACAAGACCTCCGTGATGGCTAAGCAAAACATTTACTTTAAAAGAAGTGCTTGTAAAAAATCATTTTAAACTATTCATCAAGTTTATAAAACAAAAGCGTAGTGATGAGTTTACAACAATGGGAAACTCCAAAAAATATATCTTAAAATAATACAATCGGGTATTTAAAAATGGAATTACGACTGAAATACAAGAAGGTCTATGAATAGCATGCCCTCAAATAAAGACTCAAGATATACTCTGTTGTTCTAGTTGTCTGGAATGTTAACTGTGTGATAAACTATCAAATGCTTTTTCTAAGAACCTGTGTACGAAAACAAATTCCGAACACAGAGCTCATTAGCTCAGTGCCACACTAACAACTAAACCATACTACATATGTTTATCAAATGATCATGCTAGCAAGTATTAAGCATACTCGTCTGCTTCACACAATATTGAGGTAGGCATTATGGTGTGGTCGGAGAGTTTTGCTGCATCTCGAGACATACACTCCTCTAACCTACCTAGAATGAGATCTATAATTTCTACATCAGAAACAAGTCCCAACTAACCCATTTTTTGTGAGTGCATGAGTCTCGCGCCCTAGTTAGCCATTAAAGTGCATGCCTTGCGCACTTGTTGAGGTATATCAGAACATTCTATGCAAACAAAATGACCGTCATACTACTAGAGTAACTCGGGTGTTCTTGTAATTTCCTAAGCATCATTCAAAGCAAATTTTATGTTAGCCTAATTGAATCCTAAAACCCCTCTTTTTACTATGTTTTGCTTTTGAAAATACCACATGCACACAAGAATGGTACTGGAAATCGAAAGAAAACAAAAATAAGGATACCTTTGAAATGCTTTTGATTTTCTTTATTTCTCAAATTGTTGATGGCCTCCTTTTGTCACTGGAAATTTTTTTGGGTTTTAAACCCATTCTTACAAGGGTTACATTTGTAAAAACTAAAAAAATGTTTTTTTTTTCTAATTTCTTATTGTTTCCATTGCTTGCATGACTGATGATGAGGTCAAATCGATCAATTTGGCGTTGTCTAGAGGCCCTCATGGGTGCTGGAGGGGAGGAGAAGGTGGGGGACCACGATTGACTCGATCGCTGACATGGAATAGAAAGGTCATAGGCTCATAGCTAGCAGCGCGGTTTGAGGTTACTGTTGAGGGTCTTAAAACCCTGAATCATGGAGATCTGAACTGTCGAACCGTAAAACGATGGGATTTGAAAGGCGGTGACAACTTAGATTAGGCTTTCTCAACAACCCTAACACTTGGGCTTCTTCAAATAGGCCTTTGAGTTGAACGAGTTAATGGATGTAAAAGGTTTGGGGTTTAAGGGGTCAAGGAAAATGTGTAAATGTACTTTTAATAAGCATGGACTCTTGTGACTTAAAAATGATGATTACACTTATATTTCTCACATACACAAAGTCACAATTATTTATCATTAATTTTAGTGTTTGAGTTATATTAAAGATTATTCTTAAGATTTTATATAAGATTATATTTTTAAATTCTTTCTTTTGATTTTTATATATTTCTTAATTCTAAATAAGGTTATTCTTTTATTTCTAAATGTTATGTTATATATTGAGAAAAATATGTGGAAAAATATTAATGTTGACACTATCATCAATGATTTTGCATCAAGAAATGACCGAATGTAATATTTTTTTTATAAGTATTTGTATGCTTAAATATATTTATAACATTTTTGATATTATAATAAATTACTATTTGTTTAATTTAATAAAAAATCTAATAGAAAAATTTAAATTACATGTTTATTAATTTTTATTCGAGTTAGGGGTCCATCTTTTTATTTTTGTCCCGAGTAAAATTTAATTTCTAAATTACTTTTTTTCTACACCTGCGGTATATTACACAACTAAAATCGGTATATTGTTCATTCAAATGCTTCCTTAAACAGTATATTACACAACTGATACTCAAAATCAATCCGACTGAAAATACGAGGGACCACTAAGGTGGTTTATTTAGTAAAAAATACAAATAATTCTATTATAATGAGTCTTCAAGGTATATAATTTACTATATTGTGCGAAAGCAAACAGGCATTCGGAAAAGAACCCACATATACACTATCTGCTCCCTGTGTTTCTCTGACCAAAACTGAAACCCCACTTATTTGGTCGAAATAAACTCCAACTTACAAATAGCTGACTGAATTGGTATCCACATGTTTTGTATATAAACCCTTCGCTGTAACCTTGTCTGAAACACCACCAACTTCTTATTTCTCAACTTACAGAAAAAAAATGTTTCCCATGTCTTCTCCAGCTGTTTCATTCTCCTTTTTGTTTTTGTTTCCGTTATTAGCTGCTGCTGCTGCTAATTTAGACATCGACAAGATCCTCAGCGACTACTCGGACCTGTCGGACTTCAACAACATGTTGAAGGAAACGGGCGTTGCAGACCAGATAAACAGCATGCAAACCGTCACTGTTCTTGCTGTTTCTAATGGAAATCTGGGTGCACTTTCAGGCCGATCTTCGGAAGACAAGAAGATGGTGATGAGCGTGCATGTGATACTCGATTACTACGATGAACTCAAGCTCAATAAATCGACAACTAAGCATGCAAAGATTCTCACCACGCTTTACCAACAAACCGGGAAAGCCCGCAACCAGGTAAGCAGGGATGGAGGGAAGAGACGGATGGAGACAGTTATCCCTAAAAAAAATTTAAAATTATCATTTATTTTATATTATTTTATTTTCTATTTAAAATCTATTTTTGTCTATCAAATTTAATAAGTTCATCGTTTATTAAAATTATATAAATTTATCCTAACATAAAATCCTACCTCGGTCATGCAGGTAGGTTTCTTGAACATGACGAACACGGGGAATGGTCCAGTGGTGTTTGCATCGGCTGCACCAAACTCTCACCTTGAAGCTCAACTTGTTAAACAAGTTACTTCTAAACCTTATGATATTTCCGTGATGCAAATCAGTAATCTTCTTAATGTAGCCTCCATTTCGCCTGCTCCGTATACCGCTCCTGTGGCTTCGCCTCCGAGGAAGGTGCTAGCACCAGCTCCAGCTCCAACACCGAGTCTCGACGTCAATGAGGAGGAAGACATCAAGTCTCCAGCTTCATCGAAGACTAGACCGAGCAAGGGATCGGCGGTAGCTGCTGCTGATGCTCCTGGTAGCGAGGAAGAAAAGTCTGATGTGCCTGTACCTTATGGGGATTATCTGGCCTCGTCCATTCTTATCGTTTTCACTTGCGCTTGGTTGTTGGTTACAATGGTTTGAGTAGATAGAAAGTTTGGGTTCATTTAATATTTGAAATTTTGGTTTGTTTTCACCTCGGCTGTAATTCCATTTTTTTCTTCAAAATGTTAATAAATTCAGGCTTTTTGTTTCTGATTCGTTTTAGTGAAGAAGTGAACGTCATCGTCATTCTGCCTCACAAATTAATCTAATTTCGGATCAAATTAATTAACTGGAATTTTCACTTCGAACCCAAGTCGTGAGAATGACCGTAAACTCAAATCAGCTCTTAGCTCAGCTGGTCACGATATTATTTTTTAAGATAAATTGATAATTTTACAAGATAAAATCGATATCAAAGTATTTTTAGTAACTTCGAAATTTAAACTGCTATTTATATTCAAGGGGAATATTGATACCTTAGAGGTTAGTATCGATACTCAATGTATTGTACCGAACCAAGGGAATTTTATGAGGATTTCGACATTTTTTTTGGTACTGATACTTAATAAGAGTATTGATACTCAATTTTTAGTATCAATACTCATGTGGGTGTATCCAAGGGCGGATGCACTGAGCCCCCTAAGGGGCCACACTACAGCAAAACTGATATGCAGCGGCGTTTGGAGAGAAAACGCCACAAAAGTAAAACATATAGCATCATTTACAATCGTAGTGCCACAAATTGATACTTTAGCAGCGTTTGTTGTAAAAACGCTGCAATAGAGTTGACATATAGCGGCGTTTTTACAACAAACGTTGCAATAGGGTGGTTTATTGCGGCGTTTTTTAACAAACGCCGCAATAGAGTGGTAAATTAGCGGTGTTTATACCACAAACGCCGCAATAGATTACATATATAGTGGCGTTTATTCCTAAAACACCGTAATAGTGTTAATCAATAGTGACGTTTTTAGAAAAATGCCGCAATAGTTTTAATCAATAGTGGTATTTTTTTAACAAACGCCACAATAGTGTAATCAATAGTGGCGTTTTTTTGTATAAACGTCACAAAATGTTAAATATATAGTCCTCTTTTTCTCTTACCCGAACCCTAAAATCATTTAAACTCTTCTTCCCTCAAAGCTTCTTCTTTGGAACAACAATAGCTCTCAAACGATTCCTACAGACGTCGTCGTTTGTATGTCCCGGCGGCCAAATCGGGCCTCTCACCGACAAACTATAACACAACTGCACGGTTTGATCCCTCTTATCATTAATGATCTTTTTCATTTTTTTGGTCTTCTGAAAATGGGGAAAACCCAAAAAGCTAATGTATTTGAGAAAAAAAGAGCAGATGTTGCCTTGACTAAGAGAAATTATCGTCGACGGAATGTCTAAGTGGCGTATTTGCTCTGATGATGGATCAAATTATCGTTGGGAGGATATCGGTCCGGTCTCGCCGTTAAAACTGGATGATGACCCGAAAGAAACTCCTATTGCTCCATACCCTTCTATGGCCGATCTCCTTTTTGAAGGTAACAATCTATTAATCTTTCAGCCGCTATAATTTGTTTTTTACGCTCTGTCGAATTTCATATATTGTACGCATATAGGATCTTCGAAGCTTATTGAGAACGATGATAGATGAGTGGATAAATACCCGGTGTTTAGAACTAAATTTGGTAACTCTGTGGCGTTGAAAGAATCTTCAATTGCAAAAGCAGTATCTATCCTCAATGAAGATGAAGTTGCCTCTACTGTTACTCCAAGTAAACATTTATATCATCTATTTAAATTTATTTTAATTTTTATTCAGATCGCAAGCCACCTACAATCAAGTTTCATACTGTAGGTGGAAGGTCGTTATCTGTTTCAAGAAAAGCACTGAAGCGCGCAAGGACTCTTCTTGGTGAACCGGAGGTAGGAGATTTATTTGGTGAAATGGATGAAGAGTTTCTCCATATAGAGTTTACACGGAGGAAAAACTTAACGATACGTCTTCAAACAAGGAAAACAACTTTCCTACGTCTTTTCCCCATGAATGAGCACAACTAAATTCTACTGAACAATATGGTGAAGACTGTTTATGTATAACTTTAATGTTTCTAAATTGTAATGTATTTTGTTGCTAAGTATTTTTATGCATAACTTATGTCTTAATTAAAATGTATGGTTTTTGTCAATATGTAAAATCAACTAATGTTTCTCCATATAATGTTTATACATATATCAGTCAGTTTAGTTGATGTACAGTAGAAATGAAATATGTAAAATCAACTAATATTATCTAAATAAAAGGTAATTAGCGGCGTTTGTATCCAGAAATGCCGTTATTGATCTAACATTTTGCGGCATTTGTATCAAAAAATGCCGCAAAATGGTTGTATATTGTCATTTATAGCGGCGTTTTTTAATCAAACGCTGCAAAATACTCTTAATTTAGAGGCGTTTGTTACCAAACACCGCTAAAAAGTTGTACTTTAATGGCGTTTTTGACATAAACGCCGTAATAGAGTTGTAATTTAGTGGCGTTTTTGTAATAAACGCCGCAATAGTATGTCCCTTAGTGGCGTTTTCACAATAAACACCTCAATAAAATAGTTCCTTTGCGGCGTTTTTAATATAAACGCCGCAATTGTCCTTTAATTTATCAGATATCCCCAATTTTGCAGCCCGAATCCCTTATTTATCTTATCCCCAGATCTTGTTCCTCAAATTAGCAGTGCATACTTGAGAACAAACAGTTAGTATATACAACAACTTCTCTTTATTTTGCCAATCCACTTCCTTTTCTTCTTTAGGTTTCTCATTCCTTTTCTTTCGCTTTTGGTTCCGAAAATCAGTGTTTTAGATGAGCTCTGCAAACTCCTCTGATCTTCAACACATTCAGGTAAGAACAACTTCTTATTCTTCGATGCTTGTATGTTGATTGATTTGATGCTCAGTTGTTAGATTGTTCTGCTAAAAAATTATGGAATGTAAACAAAATTTTGAGCTTACTTGTAGAAATTATTCCGGAAATACAATTCGTACAAAATAGGAAAAAAATCATTTAGGAAGGACAATAAAAATGTGATTTTCGGAACATGTGAAATCATCATATTATTAATGTTTACAATTTATAATAGATTATTTGTCAAAATTAATTGATAAAAATAGTATAACTGAAAGCATGTTACTTTAATGAAGTAAATTTTAATATTACTATGGTTCACATCGGTAAATGCAAAGAACGAACAGAAAGTAAGGCTTGGGAAAAAAATGGAAATTTAATTCGTACTGTAATGTTTGGTTTGGTTTTCACTGAATTCAATTTGGGAAATTTTGAGGGTATTCGATTTGGTTTTCACTTCACTTCACGAGTTAAAACTGCAATTGTTTGAGTCGGTTTCTAATTTTTATTTATTTTACTTTTGTTTGAGAAACCTAATCTTTCTAATCATTGTCCCGGTTTAGTTTGTGTTTAGAGGAAGCTTGAGTCTCCTCCCAAGCCGTTTAAGATTTGTAATTCTTCGACCAAGGATCTGAAGTTTTTAAATATTGTTAAGGATAGTTGGAGAGCTCTTTTGAGGGATTTTGATCCTACGAATTTTCTTTTCCATAAGTTGAAATATTTGAAGCATGTTCTTAAGGATTCAAATGTTCGTAGGATATGGTAATTTGCCTAGGCAAGTGAGGGAGAAAAAGGTTCATTTGAAATGACTGCAAATGGAAGTTTTTGCATGTATGAACTTTGAATTTCGTTAAATTTATTGATTTATGGTGGAATTGATAGCTTTTTTGGGACAAAAGACACTTGTGCTGCTGATTTCATTACAGTTTGTACTAGATTCTCCATTCTGTTACTCAAAGCAAATTTTTCATTTTGGTGGAGTAACAATAGGATCAATGACCTTGATTTTCAGACATGACTAGTGTTTCATAATGAAGTTTACTGTCCTTCCATTTTCCGTGTCTTCTTTTTGAATAATGATTAAAGGAAATTATCCCTTTTTACTTGTTTTAGAGGATCTTTCAGATAAAAATGGGTTTCTAGAGGAAAACAATAACCTTGATTTTCAAAAGGAACCCTTCCACTTTCAGGAAAATATTCCACTTTTGGGAGTGTTGATTATATAGCCATTAGAGGTGATGAGAAGCTTTTCTAAAATAGTTATTAAAATCAATAATTTATCCGTTTCTGTCTTCGTAGGTGCTAATTGAGTTGAGCAGCTCAAATTTTATTCGTTTATGAGGAACTCGTTTGTCAAGAAACAAAGGTAATCTTCTATCCGTTAAACTTTTGGGTTACTCTTTTTCTATATTTCTTGAACCTTTCTGATATGGAACAAAGGTAATAAACTACGTTGTAAGTTCTTCATGCCTCTCTCTTTACCAATGAAACATGAGTTTGTTTAGATATAAATGCTTGATTTCGATGAAACATCTGTGAAAGTGATTAGTTCTATACTATGCACCCTTATATTTTTTATAAAATAACATAGATACACTTGCTCCCATACAATTTTAGCAATTTAAAATTTCATAATGTATGAGTGATTATTTTTATATTCATCTTAATATTATCATGCACTAAATAGGATGTTCAAAGCTTATGTTTAGGTTCTATTTGTTCTGTATAATATTAGCATTTAACATTTGTAATTGAAACTCCAGAAAGACGAAATGGAGTCGAAAACTTGGATGGATTTCTAAAGGGTTAGCGTCGAATATGGAAATGGAGTCGAAAACTTTCTAAATTTTGTTTTTCTGAATGCAAGCCAAGAGAATATGATCTTTGCCCTTGTAGGAAGTGTGTTAACATTAATTGGCACATTCGTGAAGTTGTGTACGAGCATCTAGTTGTTTTGGATTTGTTCGGGGGTATAGAAAATGGATCTTTCATGGAGAGTTTGTTCAGATAGATCTGCTGCCACGAGTTATTCGACTTATCCTGATCTTTCTCACCATCAAACTTTTAGAGAAGATGACATGAAAGGGATGTTACGAGATGCATTTAATATGCACAATCATCAGTCGTATGTTACAGAAAATGTTTTTCAGAATGATGTTAATGATTTCGTTGAGACCGGAAGAATTGGATGTGATGAAGAGCCAAA